CCTGTGGTTGAAGAGACCTCAGTCATTTAGGAAAGTGGTAAAGAACAAGAAGTGGATTTTGCAAAAGGTAATTATTTGAGGAGAAAAGACAAACTGTTTGCACATAAGAAATCATTAGTGTAGTTTGACAAAAAATTTATCTCTGAGAATTTTATTGTTGATTATCAAGAAAATATAGCTAAACTAAAACAAAAAAGACAAAACAAAAAATCTTAAACATAGTTCTATCATGTCTATTAAAGTATTCAGATTGTTACTAGAGATTGATAATCATCTAGTTCTCGGGACTGCTACTGAAGAAGTAGTGTGGAGCAATGTTTCTCAAATTATAGTAGGCATAAGAATCACCTGATGTTAAGATGTTAAGGAACAGATTTCTTGGCCCCATTCATAGGGGTGCTGTTGCTGGTGATTCTGAGGGCCATATTTTGAGTAGCTCTAATGTAGAGAACTTGGCCAGATCCTAAAGATTAAAGTGCAAGAGAGTAAGATGAAAATGTAATATAAGAGACAAAATCAAGTGGTGAACTAAACTCATGCATGGCCTAGCATTCACTTTATCCTCCCAACTCTTAGCGTTGATGGAGAAATTTTAACAAATATATAATACTAATAAATAAGGGAGCATTTGATGACCCACAAGTTACAAGAAAGACTTCAAGTGGCAGGTTATGGGATATTTTTGAAGGAAAATATCACAGCCCAAAAAGCTTGCAAGAGAAAACTACTGCAAAAGGTAAAAGTAACATTGGAGTGGATTCATGGAGCAGGAGGTACCTGGCAGCCGACAAGACCGCCTGTTGCACTGCCTCAATTTACAGAAGCCGGCTAAGGGCTAGGCCCTCATGCAGTCCTTATCTGCTGCCTTCAAACAAGAGACAACAGAAGTGTCCTGTTTCCAGCAGAAAGGAGGGAGAAGATTTGGAGGAGGCATGAGCATCAAATGGCTATTAATTCCCAGCCATTCTGGGGGTGCTCCAATGCCCAGAGTGCAATTTATTGGCAACCCCAACCAGGAATACATCCTGACCCTCTCCACAAGTACCAGAGGAGGCTGTGGTAAAAAGCAGTCATGGAGAGGCTAGTGGGAAATCCCAAATTCCAGAGAGGGGAAACAAAAATCCTTAGATATTGATGGAAAACCAACACCATAAGGAAAGATGAACTAAATGCCACAAAACAGAAGATACATTACCTAAGACAAGCAAGTGGTTTAAAGAAAACGGGGGAATGATAATTAATGTCTTAAAAATAATAAGAGAAACCGTCAAATCCTTGAAATAGAAATAAATTGGTTATGTTTTTAAAAGAGGGGACTCATAAACGAAAAAAAAGTAAAAGACTGAATAGGGGGGCGCCTGGGTGGCTCAGTCGGTTAAGTGTCCGACTTCAACTCAGGTCACGATCTCGCGGTCTGTGAGTTCAAGCCCCGCGTCGGGCTCTGGGCTGATGGCTCAGAGCCTGGAGCCTGCTTCCGATTCTGTGTCTCCCTCTCTCTCTGCCCCTCCCCCGTTCATGCTCTGTCTCTGTCTCAAAAATAAATAAACGTTAAAAAAAAAAAAAAAAAAGAGTGAATAGGAAATACAGCTGAATGGTAAGTAATGACTTCAAAGATTGAGCCAAATAGTTCTCCTAGGATAAAGTACAAAAGGGCAGAGTAGTAAAAAGTAAGAAGGTGAGGGGTTGTTTTTGTTTTTCTTTTTCTTAATACAAGAGATCAGAAGGGGATGTCAGGGAAGATGATGGAGGAGGAAGTACCAGGAATCCATCCTTTACTTAGACAAAAATTTTACTGACAGACTGTGTCTGATGTAACTGTTCTGGAACTCTGAAGTCTGTTTGAAGGCTCACAGCTTTTGGGGGAAGGCTTGGCCAGTAAATTGTTCATTTCAGCTATTACCATGGTAGAGACTACCCATAACCAATCCCCTAGACCCGTGGTGGACAGTTGTACCTGCATTTCTAGACAGGCTTGCAGTAGCCGGGGTGGACAGTGCTTGAGTTTTGATCTCGTATCAAAAGATAATACACACATATGAAGCAGCCATTATAATACTCCTGCCTTGTGGGGCAACTGTGTGGTTCAGTCAGTTAAGTGTCTGATTCTTGATTTCGTCTCAGGTCATGATCTCATGGTTTGTGAGTTTGAGCCATGTTGGGCTCCATGTTGACAGTGTGGAGACTGCTTGGGATTCTCTGTCTCTCCCTCTCTCCCTGCCCCTTCTGAACTCACTCTCGCATGCTCTCGCTCAAAAAAACTAAACTTAAAAAAATTTTTTTAATGTTCTTGTAAATTAATCATGAGAGATTGGTCATGAAAAACTTAATAAAAGGATTGGAAGATAAATTTGAAAAGTTCTTTTAAATCTAGAGTAAAAAGACCAAGAGATGAAAAATAAGAAAGAAAAGACAGCAAAGTGTCCAGGAAATTCAATATCCAGAATCATTGGAGTTCTCATAGAAAACAGATTGAAAAATGAATAGGAAATTGTCAAAGAAACAATCTAATAGAACTTTCCTTATTTAAGATCCACTGAGTGCTGACCACAATGAATAAAAATAAATCCATACCAAAACATATCAGTGTAAAATTTCAAAGAGGATTTCCAAAAGCCTCCAGGGAGTGAAAACAGGACTTATATAAAGGATGAAAATTCATAATAGCATGGAGCTTCTCAGAAACAACACTGGAGGAAGCTAGAAGGCATTAGAACCACACCCTCACAATTTTGTTGGAAAATTACAAGATTTCTATACTCAGCCAAAGTGTTAATCAAGTGTGAGAGTAAAATAAAGATATTTCCAGACATGCAAGGTCTCAAGTACTTTATCACTCATGTACCTTTTTCCACATAAGAAGAATGAACCAAGAAAGAAAAAGATATGGGGTTCAGGAGAGAAGTGAAGGAAATCCCCATGACAGAGGCCAAGATGTTAACTGTACAGAGGGAATAAAAAGCAATCTGCCTGGATTGGAACAGGTCAGAGGGTTCTAGGAAAAATTTCTTTAATATGATGAAAATGGTAGTATGTCAGATGTATTTGAATGTATTGCAAGGAGATTATGCACTTGGGTTGGAGTTTGGGGAAAAGTAAACTGGTAGTCTCTTGGAATGCAGTTAATATGCAAATACTCACACAGGGTCACTGATAGACATATGCATAGATACCACTGCAGCAGTGTTTTTAGTAATAAACTATAGCAGTAATAGTAACAGTAATTCTCAGCAGTAATATTGAAAAATTAGAAATAACGTAAATGCCTATAAATAGAGGCTTTGTTAAATCATAGAACACACATTTAAAAAAATTTTTTTTTAATTTTTTTTTAACGTTTATTTATTTTTGAGACAGAGAGAGACAGAGCATGAATGGGGGAGGGGCAGAGAGAGAGGGAGGCACAGAATCCGAAGCAGGCTCCAGGCTCTGAGCTGTCAGCACAGAGCCTGATGCGGGCTTGAACTCAGGAATCATGAGATCATGACCTGAGCTAAGTTGGACATTTAACCTGAGCCATCCAGGCGCCCCTAGAACATACATTTTTTAATATGAGGCAGCAAGTAAAAAAAAAAAGTGAGGAACAGCTTTATGTTCTCTGCTATGGTTCCATTTGTGTTTCAAAAAGCACATGCTAAATTTCTAGATTTATATATGACTATAGCTAGGAAAAGCTCTAATAGTGTACATCTCAAACTTTCATTTTATTGATCTCTAGTTGATTTATTCATGTAACATCTATTTCTTGAGCATATATGTGTATGTGTAAGGAATCATTTCCTGTATGCTAGAAATGGAGCAGAGATCAAAATAGAAAACGTATCTGTCCTTATAAAGCTGATATCCTAACAGGAAGAAACAGATGATGAACAATAAATAAATGAATAAATACATTATAGGTCAGGTGATGAAAAGTACTCTGAAGAAAAGTAAAACAGGTGAGATCAGAGATACACAGTGGGGTGAGATGGCATTTTCTCTATTAAGCTCTGCTGTCCACTGGGGCTTCCTGGAGTTATGGACAAGTTCTGGAAATTTGCAGTGTTCAGTACTGTAAGCCACTAGCCTCATGTACCTGTTGAACATTTGTTATGTGGCTGGTGCAACTGAGAACAGGAATTTTGAATTTTCTTTCATTTAAATTAAATTGCCACATGTAGCTGATTGCTACCATATTGGTAAGTACATTTAAATGGGATGGTCAGGGATGCCATCACATAAAGCAGCATTTGAGCTGAGATTGATATGGAATGAAGGAGCTAGCTAGCCATGAGTTCTGGGCAGAATGAACAACAGGACCCACCTGGAGTAGTTAGAGGCCTAGAGGACTGGAATAGGATGAGCAAGGGAAAAAGTGGAAGGAGATGAAGCCAGAGAAACAGAAGGGGCCCTGTCATGGAAGGCCTCAGCAGCCAGTATAAGACTTTGCTAGTTCTCTGAGGTGGGAAGCCATTGCAAAGCTTTGAGCAGACAAGTGAAGTGATCTGAATTTTTAAAGAGTTGCTGGAATTGTTTTAATGATAAACAGTGGGAGTGAAGACAGAAGCAGGGAGAACTTAGAAGGCTCCTACGGTAACCTAGGCTGGAGGTGATAGTGAATTAGGGGGTAGTGAAGTGCATGTAGGGAAGTTGTCAGATAAATTGATGGTATTTACTGTTGGATTAGGTAAGGGGCATGAGAAAGGGGGGAGTCAAGGATGGCCTTCAAAGCCTGAGGAAATGAGATTGTCAGGACTGGGGAAAGAATGTTTGGGGAAGGAATTCAAGAGTTCTGTTTTGGGCATGGTAAATTGGAGGTGCCTCTAGATAGTTATGCCAAAGTCTTGAGAATAAGTGGTGTTAAAATGGGACTAAAGGATTTCTTCTAGAGAATGGAGTAAGAGAAGAATTCATAGATGGTGTTAGGGTAGCCCCCTTTATGTGAGGGACAAAGCAAGTAACTTGTCAATCTTAGCATGAAGATTTTCTAAGATTTGGATAATTATTTGTTATTCATTCCATAGAATGGCTCCTGAAAAGATAAGGTTCCTGTCGCGAGTTTGTGTACCACTTGTAACTCTGCCAGATATCCAACCACTGGTGGAGGCTCTGCTCACCTACCATGGACATGAACCTCAGGAAGTGCTCTGGCCTGAATTCTTTGATGCTGTGAATGAGGCCTTCTTGCTGTAAGTGATACCATTTACTCTCTCATCCAGCATTGTTTTTCCTTTTCTTAGAATACTTCAGCATAGGGGCGCCTGGGTGGTGCAGTCGGTTAAGTGTCCGACTTCAGCCAGGTCACGATCTCGCGGTCTGTGAGTTCTAGCCCCGCGTCAGGCTCTGGGCTGATGGCTCAGAGCCTGGAGCCTGTTTCCGATTCTGAGTCTCCCTCTCTCTCTGCCCCTCCCCCGTTCATGCTCTGTCTCTCTCTGTCCCAAAAATAAATAAACGTTGAAAAAAAAAACTTTAAAAAAAAAAAAAGAATACTTCAGCATATTGGAAATGCGGTTTTCAAACTTTGGTTCCAGTACCACTCTATGATCGTAGAGATTATTGAGGATTCCAGTGAGTTCTTTTTTTAAAAAATGTGCATTGTATTTATCAATATTTTATCATATTTGAAAAATAAAACGATATTCTAAAAGTATTCATTTTCAAATAATAAATTGATTACATGTTCACATAAATAGCTTATTTTTATTAAAAAGTGATCTTTTCCAAGAAAATATGTATACCAGAAGCAGCATTATTTTACATTTTTGCAAATCTCTTTATTGTCTGATGGAAGACAGCTGGGCTCTCATACATGTTTCTGTGTGCAGCCTGGTACAGCCTGGTATGTTGTTTCCATTGAAGTGTAGAAAATTCAGCCTCATAGAGATATATTGGAACAGACAGGAATACTGCAGTAGCCATCTCAGATAATTGTAGATTTTCAAAATGTTTTGAAAATGGTAGTGTTGTAAGGTTAGTTGCTATGCTGAATCTGAAATTATAACAATGAGCTTTTCATACTGTTACATTGAAACCCATTGGATGTCTGTGGTATACTTTTAAAAGCTCTTTTGCCCAAGCAGGATCTTGTAGCCTTATGCATGGTTCATTTGGAAAATACTGGTTTATTAAGTTATGTAGACCTTTTCAACCTTGACATATTTCATTTTATAGTATCAAAACTTACATTCATTCTTGTCAGCACCAAGCCCATCAGAAATGTCTTCAGGTGTTGGGGAGCTGTCAAGCTCCCACTGACAGGAGTGAATTTTCCAGGATTCAAAGTCTGCTTAAACACTCACATTTATCATTGGCTACAAAATACTGTCATTTGTTTTCCTTGAAGTACAAGGGTCATTTCACTAATTTTTGAGAAAATGTGTGCCAAATACTCAACTCTGAGCAGCCACTGTTTGCCATTCTTCCATGTAAATTTCCATGACAAAAAGGTGGCCAGTTGATCTTGCAGCTCTTACACTTCCAAGTGCTTTTCCTCGGGACAACCACCCGGATTTGTCATGCAGCAGAAGGGCATTATGCATGCTCTCCTTTTCACCACACACAATGTTTTTTTTAATCAAAAGTATTCGCCAGTGTAAAATTCAGTAAGATTAATATTTTACGCTGCTTCATCAAACACATTTTTGTGTGAAACCGGCAGTGTTACTACTGTACACAGAGTGAAGAACACGGTGACCGTTTCCCTATTTGACTTGTGCTGGGCACAGTGGTTTTGCTCACTAGTGCTGCTGCACTTCGAGTGCAAATGTCAACACGGCTGTCCCAGGAAAAACCTTGAGCTTCGGAATAGTTATTCAACACGTTGATATTTCTCTACGACATGTGCGTACTGCCCAGTTCCCTTAACAGAACTCCTGTTGACACCTGTTGTTGTTGATACCAGATGAATACGAGCAACATAGCAAGTTCATCCACCTCTAGAGATTCAGTTTTAAGGCAGCAGTGTAATCCTCTTGATGAAATATTAATGTATTTCATCTATGTTTGAATTATTTTATTCCTTTTTGTTTAGACTCTGAATGATTGGTCTCAAATTGGTGCCACAGTTAACTAGTACTACAACAGTAATTTGGAAACATTCTGTTCAATATGGCACAATGAGGTAAATTATTAACATCTCTGAAGCCAGGGGAAAAATCGCTTTCCTCATATTTGCTTTCATTTATAGTTTAGTCCAGTTCCTTTGGAGTAGTTGTCTCCCTGTCATGAGTCAAAAGAAATACCTGATGTATTGGTTTCATCTTTTCACAAACAGCTGGAGATGAGAAAGCAAACACTTTAATTCTCCTTCATAAAGTCAATGATCCATTCTTAAGTGTAAGAAAATATATTATAGGGGTGCCTGGATGGCTCAGTCAGTTAAGCATCCGACTTCAACTCAGGTCATGATCTCACAGTTTTCTGAGTTCGAGCCCCGCATCGGGTTCTGTGCTGACAGCTTAGAGCCTGGGGCCTGCCTCAGATTCTGTGTCTCCCTCTCCCCCACTCATGCTCTGTCTCTCTCTCTCTCTCAAGAATAAATAAATGTTTAAAAATAAAAAGAAAATATATTATAAATGAATTTTATTTTTGAATAAGATAACAAATTATGAGAAAATCTAAAAATGTCATATTTATATATTTCTGAAGAATATCTAAGTATATGTACACCTAAAATAATTTAGATAAAATTTAGAAGAGTTTTCCAAAAATGTTTAAGTATTATTGCAAAACTAGACAATAAAGTGTACTTGCTTCCTGTTATGTTTCCATGTAGGTACAAGAGGAAATATCAGTTTGTTTAGTTATTTATCTACTTAATTATTTACTTACTTACATCTCCTCCACCTCCCCCCCCCGCTTTATTGAAATATAATTGACATATAACATTGTGTAAACTTAAGATGTACAAGTTAATTTGATACACTTTTTATGTTATAAAATCATTACCACCATAGCTGAGCTAACACGTTCATCATGTCACATAATCACCATTTCTTTTTGATGGCAAGAACATTTAAGATCTTCTCTCTTAGCAACTTTAAATATTGTTTCAACTAAAATTATATCAACTATAATCACTATAATGTACATTAGATCCCCAGAATTTATTCATCTTCTAACTGGAAGTTTATACTCTTTGACCAACATGTCCCCATTTCACCACACTCTAGTTCCTGGTAACCATCTTTCTAGTCTCTGTTTCTGTGAGTTCAGCTCTTTTAGATTCTGCATAAAGTGATATCATACAGTATTTGTGTTTCTCTGTCTTATTTCACTTTACTTAATGCCTTCAGGTCCATCCCTGTCACAAATTGCAGGATTTCTGTCTTTCTCATGGCCGAATAATATTCTACTACATAAATATATCACATCTTCTTTATTAATTCATCTACTGATAGACACAGGTTGTTTCCATATCTTGACTAACGTGAATGCTGCAGTACACATGGGAGTACAGATATCTTTTTGAGATACATTTTCATTTCCTTTGGATATATTCCCACTAATGGGATTGCTGGATCATAGAGTCATTTTAATTTTAATTTTTTGAGGTATATCTGTTCTGTTTTCCATAGTAGCTGCACGAATGTACATTCCCACCAATTGTGCACAAGGGCTCCCTTTTCTTCACATTCTAACCAACACATTGTTATTTGTTGTCTTTCTGATTCTAGCCGTTTGGACAGGTGTGATGTGATGTTTCGTTGTGGTTTGATTTATATTTCCCTGATGATTAGTGATGTTGAGCATCTTTTCATGTGTCTGTTGGCCATCTATATGTCTTTTTTGGAAAAATGTTTATTCAGGTCATCTGCCTATTTTTTAATCAGACCATTTGTGGGTTGTTTTGTTGTTTTTTTGTGATGAGTTGTAGAAATTCTTTATATATTTTGAATATTAGCCCCTTCTCAGATATATCATTTGCAAGTATCTTCTATTCAGCAGGTTGTGTTTTCATTTTGCTGTGCAAAAGCTTTTTATTTTGGTATAGTCTCAATAGCTTATTTTTGCTTTTGTTTCCCTTGCCCAATGGAACATACCCATAAAAATGTGCCTAAGGCTAATGTCCAAGAAATGACTGCCTATGTTTTCTTTTAGGAGTTTTGTGGTTTTTGGTCTTACAGTTAGATCTTTAATTCATTTTGAGTTTATTTTTGTGTATGGTATAATAAAGTGATCCAGTTTCATTCTTTTGCATGCAGCTGTTCAGTTTTCCCAGCACCATTTATTGAAGGGACTGTCTTTTCTTATTGTATATTCTTGTCTCCTTTGTCAGATTAAAGGACCATATAAGCATAGGTTTATTTCTGGTCTCTCTATTCTATTCCATTGATCTATGTCTCTGTTTATGTGCCAGTACTGTAGTGTTTTGATTACTACAGCTTTATAGTATATCTTGAAATCTGGGATTGTGATACCTCTAGCTTTGGTGTTCTTTCTCATGATTGCTTTGGCTGTTCAGGTTCTTTTGTGGTTCCATACAAATTTTAGTATTATTTTTCGTGTTCTTTCCCAGCTTCATTTATTGATGAGACTGTCCTTTCTCCATTTTATATTTTTGGCTCCTTTGTCATAAAATGCATATATGCATAGACTTATTTTTCAGTTCTCTGTTCTATCACATTAATCTGTATGCCTGTTTTTATGCTAATACCATACTGTTTTAATCACTATAGCTTTGTAAAATAGTTTGAAATCAGGGAGCATGATGTCTCCAGCTTTGCTCTTTCTCGAGATTGCTATGGCTATTTGGGGACTTTCAGAGATACATATAAATTTTAGGATTGTTTGTTCTGTTTCTATAAACTACCATTGGAATTTTGATAGTTGATGCATTGAATTTGTAGATTGCTTTGGGTATATGGACATTTTAACAGTATTAATTCTTGTTAGGTTTTTATAGATATTCTTTATCAGTTTGTGAAAATTGTCCTCTGTTTCTAGTTTACTGAGTTTTTGTATTGAATGGGTTTGGATTTTAGCAAATACTTTTTCTGCATCTATTGATATGGTCACATGATTTGTCTTTTTTAGCCTGTTGATGTGATTGATTACATTAATTCATTCTCAAAAGTTAAAACAGCCATGCATACCTGTGACAAATTCCACTTGGTTGTGATGCAGAATTCTTTTTGCACTGTTAGATTAAGTTTGCTAATATTTAGTTGAGGATTTTTGTTTCTATGTT